ATTTGAAAGCGTACATGCCACCCTGTGCATCGGGCGGGGTATGTGTGCAATATCCCCGTATCCCGCAGGATGGTATTACGAGGTCACTCTCAAGTCTACTGGCATACTACAGATAGGTACGATGATACTGCGCTTAGCTTCGACGACAAGTGTTTGCTTTGGTAGCATCTGCTTGTGGTGTTCCCCAACATGTTAGCAGTTATTAATATTCCGTTTAACGTCAGTTGTCCACGCTTCAACCGCTCACCTGCGCGTGGAGGAAGTCTAGAATTAGCTATAACTAGTTGTAGCAACCGCGCATCAACACCAAAACAGTTAGACGGTATTCAATTGGGAACCTTAACCAAACCGGTTTATTGAAAAAGGTTGATCCTAATAGATCAAATCAAAAAAGGTTAAACGTTGAAGGTTTGTTTAAAGTGGAAAGTACACTCAGTGTATTCAGCTAGTTTACAGGCACTCTACTCAAATAATTAGAAACAAATAATCCAAATAGAACATAACAGGATTAAAAACGCCATCTGGCGGGAGGCAACCAGTTGGTTATTTACACGCGTGGCCGAGGATTTGAACTCAGAACGACCGAGAGCAAATCTAGCAACTGGTCAAAGCGGGACTCGAACCTGGTACTGCCGGATTGCGAGTCCGACTTGCTAACCACTCGGCTATAGACTGCAAAACAGTCGGTTTTTTTTTTTCTCAAAATCGGTTTAGCGTAGCGAAGCGCGAAGTGCGCTTGCCCCACACGTCTGACTGTTCGCGCGCACTTGAATACGCAAAAATAGAGACTGTTTTGCAATCCAACTGGGCCACGCTGCCTCTCATAGTTAAAACATTGAAAAGAGGGATCATAAGGAGATTCTCAACTTATTTGTCAGAGATACTGTTGTGTTAAGGATTCTTTCGTCTGTTTACTTAGGCTGGCAAACTGAAGAGTGTCGTTATGGTCCAGAGAGAGGTGTTGGTGTCGGCGACGATAAGAACTCGTGTGCGTTCGACGGCGCAAGATGCAAGGTCTGGAGCGGCCCCCCAAGCGAACAAATGAACAATGATTATGGAAAAGAATGGTCTTATGGAGATGTACTGAGCTGCTTGTTCTCCTGGAATGGAGAAGTGTCTTTCTGGTTGAACGGGGTAGATATGGGTGTGGCATTTAGGGGGCTAAACCCCTCGGTAAATTGGTACCCCGCGGCATCCGTTGCCATGGATCAGAACTGCAGTTTTAATTTTGGTGGCAGACCTTTCAGGTAGATTTGTTTTGCCTACAATGTAAATATTTAAAAGATCTTTTTCATCCCTAAATTATTATCTGATTTGCCTGGGATAGTCTACTAGAATAGTCTAAACGTTGAAACTGTGTGAATTTAGAGGGGTAGCCGCGTATCACTCAGTCCAGTCCAGTCCAGTATATTCCTCCCATTTAGCAACCTTGTTGCCATAGGGTTACATTGCCGCAGATAAAGTGAAATTTAACGGGAATTGTGTTGTATTGTGAATGTTGACGTGTGAAAAACTTTGCAAGTTCTAGAAACGAAAACGAGAGAAATCAGGAAACAAACAAAATGGTATTGATCCCGGCAAAGATTGCGCTAAAGACCTTTAGATTAGATCTACCAGCGCTTAAAACGTTTATTTTTTCCTGTGAATTTGTGTTAAAACAGGTATGAAATGCCAGAGGGCTATATTGCTGTCAGTCACGTGGTCAGCAATTTGGTCAAGAAAATTCCAGTCCGTCTTTCATCTTGTTGGACACCGGTCAGCGGCAGTTTCGAGAGCATAGTAGAGGAAGACGAAGAACCGAATGATGAGGAGGATCTGGGAACTACAGAGGCAGCAAAGATTACCAAGAGTGGTAATGTGTTCGGTGTTTTTGTCATTTGCATAAAATAAACACAGGCAGACCTATTAGAGCTTGTTGTTTCAGCGGTAAACACGAAACGGTTTGTATTCGCCCTTGATGTACCTTCAGCACAGACAGCCCAGGTTCACGACAAGAAAGTTTCAAAGCGAGCCACAACTGAAGATCCACTTTGCGCCACTCAGTTATCGCAACAGTTAGTCATTTACCGTACAAACAGGTCCAACTGTTACTTTGAACAACCAATTTTTTTGTTTCTCTGTTACACTATCAATCGCCTGAGAAGAGATTTTTTCATAAATAAAGTGTGAATGGATTGCACTTTGCTGCGGGTAGGCTGCTTGTCGAACTCGCCTCTGATTGACAAACACGGCTGCGAAATTAAGCGTCCTGTTGTTAAATCTTTTTTGCATTACAATTTTGCGATACGTTAATCTTACGTCACCTTTTATCGAGGATATAAGTAGCTTTGCATACTTGCTACAAGATATAAATACGTCAAAGAAACGAGGACGACGAAAAGTGAGGTCCAAGTATAAAACAATACAAAAATCGTTGCTCTTTTTCTTCCAGGTAAAGGAGAAGTAAGGCTTCCTCGGGAAAGAACGGATTCTGGCGCGTTGGCTGACGAGGAAAAGTCTTCTAAAGTTTCCTTAGAAGTGGACATGCCTCAATCAGAAGTGTTTTCCGACACCCATCACTCGTCCGATGTCCATGACACTTCCGGTGCGCGTCACACTTCCGCTGTCTCCGACTCATCGCTCGTCCTTTCACCCGAGCCTAACAACCACTCTCTTACCTTTGTCACGCCATCATCCAGTATTTTCACAACACCTCGCGGCTCTCCGACAAGAGCATCGCCGTCTTCAGTGCTCTTTCCCTCAAGCAAGAATGACCAGACACCGAATGAAGCCGAGCAGAGTGGGGACGACTCAGGGCTGGAAGAAAAGCCTCCATATGAGGAGAAGCACGTGACAAGCACACCATATTTGGGTGTTGGCTCTTTAAGGGACTCCATCTGTAAGCGCTTTGCTACTGCATCGCGACTGGATTCCCTGAGAGAAATTTCGTGCGAAGAGTCATTTATTGACGACGCAGGTAGGACTTTAAATTGTCCATGAAGGCGTTTAATGCTCTTTCATGAAAGGTTAATTTATCACGAGGACTTTCATCGCATATGAAAGACCCAGAAGAAGTTGAAAATACGACGCTTAGGGGATTTTATCGACGATCTTTGAGGTTTTTGTTATCGTATTGAAACACTCTATCTCGTGTTTAATGAAACTTGTGGAAAAGAAAATAAGGATGCAAACGAAGAATTTTTACATCACACATCCACGATATCCACAAAATTACCATTTCCATACAACTGTTAACTCCGCACTTTGTTCTGTTTCTAATTCCAGAGCCAATAATTCCTTTCCTGTACTTTGAAGCTGAACTGAAACACGCTCCTTGTCGAGTGAAACAAATTGGCATCATCAACGTGGAAACAAGAGAGAAACTCTATTGTGACGTACATGACGGACATCTTGCTCTGCCCAACTCATCCAGTCCTACCTCATACGAGCAGGAGATCTTTAGGGTCCCGGATGTTGTTGGTTGTGGTGTTGTCATGTCAACCGGACAAGTCATGTTCACACTAGATGGAGTGCCCACAAGACAGTTATACGAATTCCCCACCAGTAAACCTTCATCTCTGGCGATTGACAACTTCTTCCCGTACATATCGTGCACGCGAATCCGCTGCAATTATGGCCAGCAGTCGTTCCTGTTCGAGGATGCGAACAGAAAAAAATCATCGCATACTTGCGCTTCTTTGCTGCATATTATTTACGAGTCACGTGACTTTCCCGTGAACTCCCCCTCAGATGTGCCTCTGAAAGCTTAATCGTTAGTCATGGCATTTTTTAAAGTGACAGTCGAAATGCCAGTTACCCGTTCCTAAGCGAGTATTTAGGGAAGTTTTCTACACGAGAGACTGACGCCCGGTGATTGACGTTCTAACATGCAGTTCAGAGCTGTTTGTTACGCTGTTCAGGAAAGGTGGATTTAAGTGTGAGTGAATTTATTAAAATATAACTGTTCACATTTGGTTTGGTCTGTGTGTTATTTTGCACGAGGGCTAAGGTAACCCTTACTGACTAATCAATTCAGTAATTAAAAATAAAATACGTTATAGTTTTGAACATTCAAAATTCGATCATATTCATTGTAATGTAAGACAGTCAACCCGGATGTCCCTAGAGCGAGATTTGTTGCAAGATTACGTGTTGCTTACTACGGACACCATGGCATGTCCCCTTTGTGTCCGTTTTACCGGGGTTCCACTGCATATTGCATCCTTGTCTTTCTCTCTCCCTCAGAAAGCCTAGTCTCTTGGCGAAATATCTATTTTATGCCCTCCGTAATCTACGAACGTATTCAACTTCTCGTTTTTGAATGATTGGTAATAATTCGCCTTGTAATACTGAAAAGGTGATTTTTTTTCCTTTTTACTCGAACGACAAAAGGCAGATAATTAAGACTACTAGTACAGTAGAGTCGCCATGTGCGACCACCTACATAGCCAAAACACCAAAATTTTCACAGTGAAAGCCCAAGCCTCCTCCAGCGACTTCACTGTCCTTTTTTAGAGAACGAGTGGGAGAATGGGGAGAGAACGGGCGGTGACCGTGATCGACCGTGATGCAACTCAAGATGTTGCTCAAGATGCAACCCTGGAACTCCTCATTTTTTCTCCTTTTCTCGTTCTCAGAATCCTCACGGTAAGTGTAACCGTTACAAAAAGAAAACGACCGCGACAAAAATGTGATTTTGAATAAAGTCGCCTCCCGCTCCCTACAAAATTTTTCCCGAACTCGCACAAGTGGGCCCGCTAGCACGCTACGCCCTTGGTTGACGTCTTTTGCATAAAAACGCCTTTGCTTACGGGTAAGTTCCCAAGCTAGGACACCTGCAATCTCAAATCGGCTAGGATGCCGCGCGCGCCATTCCCGCCATTTTTGAAAGACCATGGTAGCCTGGCCTTTTTGTCGTTCTCCAGTATTTCAACATGGCCGACGGACACTGACAAAATCGCATAGCGACTGTCTTTAATTTTATCTCATTTTAAGGCATTAAGCGCCATTTTTCTAACGCCATGGACAAGTTTGTCATCAGAACTAAACGTAGCCCTAGACCAGAATGTACCAGCTCAGCGAAAGTGGACAATAAAAAGCAATCAACAATCGAAAGTCTTGCGGTGAGTTTTCAAAATGTTCTAGTCACCAATAATTAACAGTTTCACTTACAGCCAAGGTAAACTGTATTAGTTTTAGATCACTTACTAGACTGCGAGCAGTCTCTTATTTTTCTTTGCAAAGTTACTGCACGCGAAACCCAAGCACGCGAGATCGTCCCAATCCCTTATTGAAACGTAACGTCGTGGTTTGCAATCGCGCTGGCCGAGATAAGAACTAGACGGATTTTAAGAGAAAAGGCGGACTGCAAGCAGTCTTATCACTTACTAAAGTATCTTGTTGTGTAGCCAGAATGTTTTAGGATTTTTTTTAGGCTAAATTACGTTGTATTATTATTATTATTTTCAATCTTTTTCAACGGGTTTATACAAGATGTTTCTAGGGTACCGTAATGCAAGGTACAAGGAATTTGACGTTTGACAAATCTAGTTAGATATGATGATTTTTTGTTTTTCTAGAGTGTTGTTGTAGTGGAAGAAATACACCGTCTTAAATGCGAACTAGAAAGTGATGTCTCCACCTCTGAAGCAATTTTGTCCGCGTTAAAAAAGTTGGGTATGAAGAACTTGTCTAAAGATGTTTTACTCTCCACGAAAATTGGCCACACTGTGAACCGACTGCGGCGTCAAGGAAGCAGTGAGGAAATAAGAGAACAAGCTAAGCTCGTCTTTAGAAGATGGCGAGGGTTTATCAAAGAATTAGAAAGAGAAAAGCCTATTATTGAGGTTCACTGTGATAAGAAAACTGAAGTTGTGAGAGGAAAAGCAAGAAAGTTGTTGGCTGATGCTATTCAAATGACGGTATGATGTTCTCAGCTTATAATTAGCAATTAATGAATGAGGCTGAGTAGGATATGAAGAATTAAGCAGATCAAGGAGGGTGTTATCCACAGAGGATGAAGCCCGAGGTGGATAACACCCTCCAAGATCTGCTTAATTCTTCACATCCTACAAAAGCCGCATTCATTAATTGCTTTATTATTCATTCAAAATAATTCCTAGTTTAAAAACATAACCAAAACATGCTTACCTGCATCAAAGTTAAGTTTATCTTCGATAGTGAACGTTCAGGTTTGTCCAGCTCCGCAAATATTTTCCAAATAGCAGATGTCGCCCTTCGAGTTGTCATCTTCCTGTTTTTACTGTTTTTAGCCATTCTTTCACCTAGTTCCAGCTGTAGTTCTTACTCTTGAAACAACTGAAGTGTCCGCCATTTTAGTTTTCACAACGAAAACAACCCAACCTAGCCCCGGGTCTTCTCGGTTAACGGTGCATTAACCTGTAGAAGGCTGCATTTTTAACGTCATTTCCTCGTTAAACACAAAATTCTTCCAAATTTGGTCATCAGTGACTGGTTATGGTGAATTATGCGTGTGCTTTTATCCAATCAGAATTAGGGAAATATTTTGAATGAATAATAATATTATTTGAACACTCAGTAAATGCAATCTTACTGCCAGGAAGTTAGAGCTATTGCATTCTGAAACTGAGGCAAAGCCGAGAGTTTTCACAGCTTGTAATACACAACCGGAGTTTTTTGAACGGCTTCAAAATCTCTAATATAGATCAACTTATTCTTGCCTCGCCTTGAGTTTTTAAACCTGATAATACACTCCTGCTCATTTTTAAACAGTACTTAACTTGACCTTGTGGGCTGCATAATAATTATGCAGATAGCTTAGCAATAAAGTTGAATCAGTACACGTAGTTTGTCTGTAAAGCAGATTCACCAGCCATTATGATACACAAGGTCTTGTCCCTACATACTTCACGAGGAGAGCAAGCCTCCATTATGTTTGCAATGGATTGTTGCTCTTTGACAAAAATCTTGTGCCACATGTATGTTTACTTGCTTATGCATTCAAAAAATAAGATATTTTTATAAAACTTTTTTTATAAATTTATTTAAAGTTATTACAGTATTTAGTGGTCCTTTCTCTACCATTTCATGAACAAAGTGGAAATTGAAATTATTGTTAGTTTTTGACGACAGGGGGAAACTGGAGTTTCTAGAGAAAACCACTCTAAAGAAAGAAGAACAACTCAAAAACATACTCAACTGACATTGTCATGTTGCATGTTGCATTAGAATGTAGGCCCCATTAGTGGGAGGCCTGTGCTCTTACCACTATGCAACCATGCTCAGCAAAGAAACTTGTTGTGGTGTATAAAGGTAGAAATGTTTTTAACTTGTTATCTGTTTTGTTTGTTTGTTTTTTCCTTATTTGCAGATTACAGAAAATTTACCAGAGCTTATTGAAAGGACTGTGTTTCACAAGTTTGGCAGGCTTATCAACAACAACTATAAGAGAAAGATGCGGTCATTGGTTTTCACTTTGAAACACAGGGATGCTATCAGAAATAGGGTTTTAAGTGGAGAAATTACAGTGGAAAAATTTGTTAACTCATCTCCTGATCAACTTTTGACATAGTGCTTGGATATTAATAACTTTACGTTTCATAGAATTTTTTAGTTTTGCTGTACATTAAAAATTTATTATTTATTATTCAACTTAATTCATTATTATTGTTATTGCATAATTGGGTGATTCCAGAAAATATCCATACCATACCACGGGCGGCATCTTGGAATTCCGAGGGAGAGGGGGGGTTTCTTGGACTGGAATTCCGAAGACATGGGGGGGTAACGCAGTTTGGAATTCCAAAGGCATGGGGGGGTGTTTCAGCTCTGAATTCAGTGAATTTCCAGAGGAAAGACGGCGAAAGCTCCGCTTGAAATCGCTGACCTGTTAACATTCCCAGTTTGTAAATGAAGCACGAACCGACCACGGAAGAAGTATGCGTTCATGCAGATGGGTAAGCAGATGGGTTGTGCAGCAAGCTCCACATCGAAGAGGCCTTAAAGTTGATGAATTAGTCAACTGATTAATAAAAATATAACCAAGTCGGTGTTTCTCGCCGATTGTCGATCGACGATGTGTTGTTGCGTGCTGAAAACTCGCACCAGTCTCTCGTTTCCAAATAGAACGCCTGACAGATTTTGTATTTCACGCCGATTTTCACGCCAACATGTAGGTAGTAAAATCCGACAGCGTGCCTTTTGATGCGCTGTTTAATTCAAAACTGTTTATGCGCAAGTGTTTTGATCATTCAGTTCTAAATAGTTATTTTTCCTCGAAATAACTATTTATTCCAGGAGCTGATATCCTTAAACGGACGTATATTTGCCAATAGAACTGGAAGAGTCGGGGAGAGGTTTACCTCAAAAAATTATAATATCGAATATCGATCGTAAACTTTACTCTTGTCAGCGTCCACTGGTATCAATACGATCTACTCCTGAAAATATGACGGTATTGAATAGAAAACAAAAAGTTCTATTAGGTGGTAAGCAGCTTAAAGATAATGCTTAGAAGGAATAGCTACGGTGTACTAACGTTAACAAACTTGAGTTGCTTGATCGTCTGACTAAAAATTGTGAACAGAATTCTTTTGCGGAGGGAAAAAGTGCAAGTTTCTCGTTCGTTTGAAGATTTAGGCGGACGAACAGGAATTCCAAAGGGTCTGAAACAAAAGTGGAAAATTCCGGAGGAGAGGGGGGGTTAGCGATTTTGGAATTCGGAGGGCAAGGGGGGGATATGCATTTTGGAATTTCCGAGGGCAAGGGGGGGTTAAAATACTCATGCCACCCGTGGTAGGGTATGGATATTTTCTGGAATCACCCATTATTTGATTTTTGAACCTTTTCACTTTTCACTGTCTCATTTTGTGTATGTAAAATATTTAGAAGAAAACAAAATTAATGCTCCCATGCAACAGCACTGTTACAGGGTTTTCATTTGAATATTCACATCATAGCATCATAGAATTTGGTCAACAGTGGATGTAATATTAATTTTAGGAATAAAAGTGAGGGAATTGAGCATTTTTGCAATATTGTGTAGTTTTTTTTAGTTCATGTAACAGAGGTATTATGTAACTCTTTCTTAAGATATAAAGAAGATGTCTCCAGTTAGCATTTTTATGTGATCTAAATACATTATGTAAAGGATATTAAAGGACATTAATTATTTTCAGACAAGAACATGACTACATCAATTTTGTAATATAAATAAGACGTGAGCTATACAGTACATGTTGTGCTTCAGTTTTATCGTCAATTCGATTTTTACACCCACTTTGTCCCACAAGAAAAGATTTTATTTTGGCCCCATGATAAATCCTTGGTTAGGTCAAGCTGGCTGATTTTTTTTTATTACATTTTGGACCTCAATTTCATTGTAGTCCATAAAAATATAAAAAAAGGACTTGGTTAACATCCAGCCATCTTTAGTAGGCTGATTTATGAACAGGACGGGAATGTCAGTTGATGACAGGAAAATGCGCAGAAAGGACTAAACTCGACATCCGGTGCCCAATATGTCGCTCTGCCATTGGTCAAGCCAGATGTTTGATTTGCGCGCACCGTCTTGAACTGACGTTCCTGTTCTGTTGCTAAATGAGCCTAATAATGAGGATGGAACAAAGAAGTGAACCAAGGATTTAGAGTCTGTATTCCCTAGAATACTGCCTAAGCCTGTACACCTCTCATAAGTTGTTTAACCATTGTCTGTATTTGATCATTAGTCATGTATTCAGAGTTTGTAATCGCATTAGCAATGTTAATGGTGTGAGAGGTTGATGATGAATTAATCCACACTCTTCCATTCTGTCCCACTGTGCATTCAAATGGAAAGTACTTTCCAAGGCATTTTAAAAGAACAAATTCTTTACTGAGGAGTCTGAAAGGGGGAATATGACAAATGAAAATCAATACCAAACATCAATATCAAAGGTTTTTTTTACCACTGGTGATCATTTTGTCACTTTTCATAACCTTTTTGGATTAAGCAGGGGTGTTGACAGGAGAACGGCCCATGGCTCAAGAAGAAATTTAGTATACCCCCTAGTAGCCTGCGTGAGCCCCATACAGACTTAACTAATTACCAGAAATGTGTTTTGAATTTCCCTTCAACCTGATTGACAAGTCAACAATGAAATTTTTAACAGGCCAATCATGGTGTGTACTAAAATCCTGGTACACAAGTGAGGGGCCAGAAAAAAGGATTTTAGTGCAGTTTTGCAGACTGACTTAACCAGGCCTCAGTTGTTTAAAAGGTGAGCTAGTGCTATCCATGGGATAAAATACTATCCAGTGGATAGTACCATTGGATTTTGAAATACTTAATATATCCACTGCATAGCAATATTATTTGTCTGGCCCCAGTTGTTCAAAAGCTGGATAGTGCTATCCACCGGATAAATCACTATCCAGCGGAAATATTATTACAAAAATCAATAATTAGCATCCTTATTATGCTATCCACTGGATAGTAATTTATCCAGTGGATAGCACTAAAAATTTAGCTTTTAAACAACTGAGACCCCGTGGATAGTGCTATCCGACGTTTGAGTTATCAGGACCTGAAATTTAGTTCTGTCTTTGGCGCAGGCTATACCCCTAGAAGGAACTATTTAAAATTCCCAATCAGTTATGAAGTGTACTTACTTTCTCGAAAGGCCAAGGGAGCATGTGATCATAAATCCACCATTTAATGGTCCTAGCCCCATGCTTTTTCCACTGCCATCCGTACAGTCCAACTCCGGCTCCATGTCTTTGTTTGCAACACTTAATCGGGCATAAACAATGTCCCCTATCTGCAAAATGAAAGAAGATCACTTAGTAATTTTAAATCATACTGTTATCACTGATACCTTTATCTGCATAACC